ATTGCAAAGATACTATTTAAACTGAACTGAGCTGGATGATGACATCACTGAATTCAATGATGAACTGCCTTTAACTGAAAAATTAGTGTTTACTATTGTCACTTTGCATTATTGACACACTATTTTCCTAATTAATGTTGTAGTGTTGCTTTGACACAATCTGTATTGTTAAAAGCGCTATATAAATAAAGGTGACGACTTGACTTGACTTGACTTCACTACATGTATCTGAAATACTGCCCATCCCTGGTTGCAGACCATCAGCATGAAAAAGCCTAGGACATTCCCAGAAAAGATTCCAATTATTAACAAAGAACAGTTTCTGTTCTTTACACCATGACAATAACCATTCATTTAGAGCAAAAAGTCAACTGAAACTTTCATATCCTCATTGATACGTGGGAAACGGTCCTGACACAATGATCCTCGTCACGGGTGATGTACTGCGTACCATCTCGATCAGGCTCCTGAAGTCCCTCTTCAGTGTCTCTGTCTGCCACAGCTTGGTGTTGTTTACCCCCAGGTGAAGCACGACAGTTCCGATACTCTCATCGCCCTTCAGGATCGCGGGTATCTGCGCACAAACATCGAGAACACGAGCACCAGGAAAACAGTGAGTGAGCACCTTACCTTTAGCTAAGGTAGCACGGACGTGCCGGACGATGGAGTCTCCAATGATCACAGCGTCGCGTTCCGTCTCACAAAGGGGAGTGAAGTGGTTCCGGGTGGAGATCTCAAAGAGCGGGGACGGCGGAGGGGGAGAGGTCCTCGCCCAGGGCCTGGCTAACGTCTTCCACTGCTGGTGCACCCAGGGTCCGTGGTGTCCCAGCACCGGAGTAAAGGAGACCTGGGAAGAACGCGTCCTGGGTGCACGGGGCCTATGCACAGAAACACACGGTGTAGAGGTGGTGAGAGTACTAATATCGTGCCGTAAGCTTACCTACTTGTGAGCGTCAACCCAGAATGTTTCCAGCACAGCTCGCCGCTCTCGCAGCTGGGACTGCTTCACCAGCAGGTCGTGGATCTGCTTCTTCACGCCCTCCAGCTCGAGCTGCACTGAGTGTTAGAGAGGCACTCCGATTGTTTTTGTTGTAGAATACGATAGGGGATATGTTCACACATTATAGAAACGGAGATGATGGTGTATAAAATTTATTTTAAGATTGAAAAATAGATGATAAATAATTAACTTGACGGAGCTCCAAACTCAAAATACGTGGCAGCAACGAACAGGAAGTCAACACTGTATGACTTTTCTCTGTCATATGACTGTAAAACAACATCTGCGTGTCTGTGGTGTTATTTCAATCACCTCTTTGTATTTCAGGGGAAGTACAGTTCCATTGAGTTCTTTAGTTCTTTGGTGAGTCGAGCAAGTAAAGCAGGTTTTATGTAGGGACGTTCTGTGTTTGTGACCAGGAAAGAATGCAGTCAAATCAGAATGAAGTTGTCAGACTTGTTCGGAGATGTCAGGGGTATCAACAACAGAGATATGACTAACAAAGAGCAGGTGAATAATCTACTGCAGAAGTTGGCACAAAATTTGAATACCTCTGGAAAATACTTAAGCCATAGTTTGATGCTGTAGTTGCCAGGGTTTGGTAGAGATAAGGTGAAAATAAATAGGTTAAACAAAATCAATATACTGTAACAAATAAAATAAAATGTATTTTGCAGTATATTCCCATATATTTTTGTTTCGTAAGGAGTAATGCAGCTCTAGAAAGAAAGCAGTGTCATTGTTCAGCTGAAGTCAGTTCAGTGCTGATTCAGTTCAGTTTAATAAATGTGTAAAGGGGTGTGTTTCCCAAAAACAACTATGGTCACAAGTTCTGTCGTTACCAATAGAGTTCAATGGAACTTATCACCATAGTAAGCTAACAATGCTTTTGGAAAATGTACCCCTGTTTAGTTCTCATCCTACAGTGTTATATAACCAATTAAGCAAGCCAAGACAGTGACAAGAAACACAAACTCCATCAGTGACAGAAATGGAGAAAAAACCTTGGGAGAAACCAGGCTCAGTCGTTCAGTTCTCCTCTGGCCAGACGAAACAACATGGTGAACAGAATCAATGATGAACTGACTTCAACTGAAAAATTGACTCTTTACTATTGTCCTCTTTTTTAGAGATTCTTTACTGCAAAATGTAATTTTGTTTGCATCATTGAAACATTATTTTCCTGTTTAATACTGTAAAGCTGCTCTGACACAATCTGTATTGTATAAAGCGCTATATAAATAAAGGTGACGACTTCTCTGCAGGTGGAGACTGCAAGTGACGTCACTGACAGAAGACACGCAGGTGAGTGAGAATGCAAGTCTGCAGCCAAACCCTGCTCCTGTTAGCAAAACTCATGACCAAGCCTTGAGATGGCATCTGGCTGTACTTCATTTTATACTACACCCTAAGAGTATGTACTGTTTTTGTGATGAAAAAGTACATACTTTTGATTGTGTAGCAGAATAGTAGGCAAGTTTTGGGCAAACTACTTCCTTATAATTATGTATTTAACAGACTCTGTTGCTTATTTACATGCATTATGTTGTCATTAAACTGCCCTGTTAATCATCTTGTCACAATTAACATCAATAGGTTGTGGGCAATATTAGCTGTTAGAGTGTGCAAAGATCTGCACATTCCAATATACTATGGTTTGGGACACACTAATTTTAATTTCAATTAATATTTAGGATGGATAGTAGGCCTATACAAATTGGGATGCAGCATCAGTTCTAGATTCATTATTTCTCTCACCTTTTGATTGTTTTCACACATTCCTTCCTCTTGAATTTGTCTTTACACAGTTGGTTCTGTGTCTAATCCTTTGTCAGTTTTGTTTTTCAGCTTCAAATTCTCTTATATTTTATTTTTAGTTCTCAACAGAGGAGACAAGGTTCAGAAAAGTTGCGGTAAATGTGAACTAACATACATTAAAAGCTGGCACCATCTTAATAGCACAGACTGAGAAATAAAGCTGAATTCACATTAATTGATATTATTCTATTTTTGTTTGTTTGTTTGTCCTCATTAACTGGGTCATTATTAATGTCTTGATTTTCTTTTTATTGTTTGAGTTTTGCTACTTGGGTTTAGCACAGAGCAACTCTTATTGTATCTAATCTGTGCTGTTCACTGTTCACTAATCTGTTCATCTGTTTCACTTGCTTTTATGACACAATTTTGTGTGCTGCACATTTTATGGTGATTTATTATTTGCAGTATTTCCACAGCTTTTAGGAATTTTAAGTGATGAAAGGCTGTACAGGAGATGTTATGTGGAATCTCCGCAGCTTTATTTACAATAATCCAGATTAATCAAGATCAGAATTTGTTCAGACAAATTCACACACATACACACCTATTGTGAATTTAAAGTTTACACAAAACAATACTTTCATGAAACTATCAGTAAATTAGACCAGGTGCTAGGTTTTAAAATAAATTAAATGCTTTTACTTCCTGCTATGTCACATGATTTCAAGGAACTCTATGTAAAGACAAGCAGAGAGAAGCCTGTCAGACTGACACACAGAGAAAAGAGAGAGAGAGAGGCATCAGGAATAAGGTTTGTCTTTTTTTCCCTCAATATGCTAAATTTTATCGGTTTGTTTTCAAATATTCAAGTCTTAATATATTTGAATAAGTCTAAGATGAATAACTAGTTAATTTGCCATGCCAGTGGTAGTGTAAAATTTGTCTTTATTGTTAGTCCAGGAATGTTAATGCGTGCAGTAGAAAGATACAACAACATACGGCAGAACAATATTGGCAATAAACTCTAATAACACAATATACACAGTATACAATGACAGGCACCTGGCATAGCATTGGAGTATTACATGACAGATTTGACAGACAACTGGTTCGAATGGATTAAAGGTTTATTGGTTTTGGTCAGATGTTTTTAGACATATTTTGCAGATGTATTAATGTCTTACAGAGACTTCACAGATAGTGCAGAAAAATGTATTGAGAGGTGCTTGTACTGATCCAACAATATGGTCATTAGCATGACACATTTTCTGAAGAAGCATAAAATATATGTTGCTCATTTAATGTTCCCATGCTCTTTCGTACAGATAATTTAATTTCTGTTCAAGAATTTCTATTCTGAAGTTTACTTAGTTAATTTGTTCCTGTTTTCTCAGTTCTTGTGTTTACTTATGGTTTCAAATTTTCCTAGGTTTCTTAGTATGACTAGTATGATTTTTTTCTTCAGTCTAGGGAGGATAAACAACAGCACTACAGTGGAGAGATGCTCAATACAACATTAAGACACAGAGGATACCTGAAAAACACTGTACATGAAATTGGTGAGAAAGAACAGTTTTGGTTTCATGCTATTACCCTTTTTTTCTTTCTTTTCTTATTTTTGCTCCTCATGACAGTTCCTCCCTGGCGGATTCCTCTGAGGAAGGATCTGCTTTCTCAGAGACGGGGCACCCTATGGGACCCATGTCCAGATCTCTGGAACCTCCATATGTGGTTTCTGGAAGGAACGCAGAGATTTTAGGTGATCTACCTCTAACGGTAGTAAACACCATCACTTCAGCGAGAGCACCCTCTACAAGGCACGCCTATGCTTTGAAGTGGAATCTGTTCAGCAATTGGTGTTCTTCCCATTGAGAAACCCCCCAGAGATGCCCGGTCAGGGTTGTGCTTTTTTTCCTGCAGGAAGGTTTGGAGCGAAGGCTGTCTCCCTCCACCCTGAAAGTGTATGTTTCCGCTATTGCCGCACATCACTATGCAGTAGACTGTACGTCTGCAGGGAAGCATGACCTGATCATCAGGTTCCTTAGGGGTGAAAGGAGGTTAAATCCTCCCCACCCTCACCTGGTACCCTCTTGGGATCTCTCATTGGTCCAAACCGCCTCACAAGGGGAGCCCTTTGAACCTTTGCAGTGAGTAAAGCTTAAATTCCTGTCTTTAAAGAAGGTGCTCCTGACTGCAGTGGCTTCCGTTAAGAGGATAGGGGACCTGCAGGCATTTTCGGTCGATGAATCATGCCTACTCTAATGTTATCATGAGACCCTGGCCCAGATACGTACCAAAGGTTCCCACCACGCCTTTCAGGGATCAGGTGGTGAACCAGCAAACGCTGTCCTCAAAGGAGGCAGACCCAATCCCTGCTCTGCTCTGTCCCGTTTGCACCTTGTGCTTATACGTAGATCGTACGCAGAGCTTTAGGGCCTCAGGCCAGCTGTTTGTCTGCAATGGGGGACAGCAAAAGGGAAAGGCTGTCTCCCAGCAAAGGCTCAACCACTGGATAGTGGATGCCATAGTCTTGGCTTACCAAGCTCTAGATCATGCTCGGGGTGAGGGGTCATTCTACGAGGAGCGTAGCTTCCTTCTGGGCATTGGCACATGGCGTGAGATCCCAATTCGAGGGTTACATACGTAACTGAGACGTTCTGTAGTAAAGACATTTTTTTCTAACCAGCAGATGGCAGAATTCTGCCTCCAACACCTAGATCAATATCCAGAAATAACTTATTTAATTTTTACACAATCGCTCTGTAAATGTGTGGGGTCCAAACGGACCCCGAATAATCTAAACGTATAGGGAAATGAGGAGCATATGAGGCATGAGATTAGACATATCTCAAATAATATTCTTCTTGTATTGGATATGATGGATTATGCTGATCTTATTGAAGGTGGTGTCATTATTTTGTTTCCAGACTTCTAGAAGGCATTTGATCAAGCTCAATTCTGAAATTAGTGAGGGTGCTCTAATAAAGTTTAGATGCAATGTGTGAGTGTAACAAACTTCAAATGGTAACCTCCAGACACCATAGAAACATGACCACACCATGGATGTGATGATTGAAATGGATTTATTCACTTAAAAAGAGTAGCATGGCGCAAGTATAGTACACTAGTATACACACACTGGAAGGCCTACTCTCTTATCCCTCTGCTTCCCCATCTGCATACACCATGCGTCTAAGTGTGAATGCTTAAATTGGACGATATATAACACTTAGCATGTGCACATGTAGATTTAACGTGTACAGTTAACGTGTATGAAGGCATTTATCATGGAGAAGCACTCAAATATGTAGCATTTGGACCAATCAGACACACCATTTTTCATTAGATTTAACAAATCAATTATTCATTAGATTAACAAATAGTCACAGACCCCTCACCCAATAAACATACTGGGTGCCAGGATGTCTGCGAATGACCCCAGGCCCCTGGTTACCATGGCAACCACTACACCTGAGCCAGACCATATAAATTTTACAACCTAAAAGTATGTAGAGAGAATCTTCCCCCCTACTCAATTCTCTCTAAAACAGACACATACTGCTATAGGAAACGACTTCTTTCATTAATTCATAGACACATTTTTATATGACCTTCCTATCATGCATATCCCCAGGTCATTGTGTATGATTACTATCTTCTTGTATATGGTCTTTTGTATTGTATACTGTTTTATGCATGCTTATGATAGAACGACTCGTTCATGTAATCTTACCTATGCCGTGTTTAGTATCTATGAAATTGTATATTATATGTTGGTACATAGGCAACATATTAAGTGTTCTGAGAATCTTTAGTAGTTTGTGCATCAACACCCAATCGAGTTCCATATGCAAATTACCATGCTCTCACACAAAGGGTCATAAAACTCCCCAGTATTCAGCCTTTCTCATTGGACAAGCCCATCCTGAGAGGCGTGAATTTTCCCAGACCTTAAAAGGCTCACGGACAGTTCCGCCCATGTTTTTTTTTTTTCTTCTGCTAAGTCTTCTGCTAAAACCTTCTGATTGTGGCCCGTGTGGAGAGCCTGAGCCGTTGCGTCAACACCCAATCGAGTTCCATATGCAAATTACCATGCTCTCACACAAAGGGTAATAAACCTCCCCAGTATTTCCAACCTCCCGCTTGGAATTTCAGCCTTTCTCATTGGACAAGCCCATCCTGAGAGGCGTGAATTTTCCCAGACCTTAAAAGGCTCACGGACAGTTCCGCCCATGTTTTTTTTTTTTCTTCTGCTAAGTCTTCTGCTAAAACCTTCTGATTGTGGCCCGTGTGGAGAGCCTGAACCGGTGCGGGCGTGCCCGGTGGGCTCCAACACATAGCCAGTCAGTCTGCGGTTATGTTAGATGGTGAGAAGATGAGGATGTGAGCTAGAACTCTCCTGGAACCCATTAAGTGTGCCAGGCTTCGGTCTTGTCTTTCCATTCAACAAAGATCCTCGGATCTCATGTCTCTCTTAGCCCTTTTTCACTTTCCACTGGGAAGAAACTCCCAATCACCATAGTGTCAGAACATCTTTGGAGTTCATCACTCTTCAAACCCAGAAGAAGGTGATCGCGACTCCTACACCACCGAACCTCCAAACCATCAAGACTTTCATCCGAGACTGCATCCGTACGCTCGTTCCAGGCCAAGGCAATGCAAATATCATACATTTAACTAAACGAAGCAGAGGTTTAGTATAAGTTGTAGACCCCATTCTAAAACGGCGCTGTTCTAAAACGACTTTTTTCATAGCTTCATTCTCTGTTTTTTTTCCTGATGGCTTCATCCATCAAGCCTCATTTGCCCTTTCCCCTGTATGAGTGATTGTTTGTTTGTTTGTTTGTTTGTTAGACTAGTTTGTGTTAGTGTTTAGTTAATTAAACTCTTGTGCACAAATTACATGAGTTTCTGATTCTGCCTTGTAAATGAATGTCCCTTTATGATTTTGATCCTTTCATACAGTATTAATGCATTAGAGCATGTAGTAAGTATTTTCTGTGGCCACGGAAATATCCTTTCCTAGAGTTGATATGAACTCACACTGAATGTTCGCTGGACGAACAGATTGGTTGATGGCAATTTAATTCTGCCACAGTTACTACTGGCAGCTGATATAATTGTAATTTATCATAATTAATTGTAATTATTTATATACATTTCCCTTTTGAGCTAATTTGCTACAAATATTTTATGATGATGTCACAATCTACATATAACCACCATCAACTGATTTAATTTGATTCTAGCATGCATTTTTTTGGTAACACTTTACATTAAGGTTCCCTTTATAAAGGGTTTATAAAGGTGTTCATAAATGACTAATAACTCACTTACAAATTCATTATAAATCATTGATAAGCAGTTATAAATGCATGAAAAGAAAGGGTGATTTTAATGAAATACCTGCCAAATAGTGACCCATTTTTAACTCACGTTATACGTGTTTAATAAATATATTTATTCATACTTATTTCACTCAAAACCAGATCCCTGATTTATTTCATGATACAGCAAAAATTTACTTTTATAGTGAGACTGAAGGGTGTTGCATTTATGGTTTTCTCATTTATATCTCATGACTCGTCTAACTTTTCTTACAAAGTTTCTTACCAAAACCTACTCTGTACTCTGTTCATGATGCCTATCCACAGCAATAATTAGAAACTGATATATTTTGTTCATCAAGATGAAATTATCACATTTTATCATAAAAACACAAACATGACTTGATGAGATATTAATACAGAACATTTTAATTCCAATATTAGTTACCTGTGAACCTTAATATAATGAACCATTTATTAATAAGGTATTAATGTTAATAACATCTAAAAGTGAACCTTAATGTAAAGTGAACAGCTATGAACCATTTATTAATGAGTTATACATGTTAGTAACCTGTCAAAGTGAACCTTAATGTAATGTGAACACCTATGAACCATTTATTAATGAGTTATAAAAGTTAATAACCTGTGAAAGTGCACATTAATGTAAAGTGAACACCTGTGACCCACTTATTAATGAGCTATACACATTTGTAACCTGTGAAGGTGAACCTTGATGTAAAGAACCATTTATTAATGAGTTATAAAAGTTAATAACCTGTGAAAGTGCACATTAATGTAAAGTGAACACCTGTGACCCACTTATTAATGAGCTATACACATTAGTAACCTGTGAAGGTGAACCTTGATGTAAAGAACCATTTATTAATGAGTTATGGACATCATTAACCTGTGAAAGTCAACCTTAAAGTAACACTCATCATTAATTTATTAATTATTAATGCACACACAGAAGATCCTGAAATAATATAATAAATATGCATTATAGTAGTAGCTACAACTAATAAAAAATACATTGCATGTTATACATATTTGTCATTGTAGTGAAGGGCAGTGAGGAAATAGGATTCAGATGCAGCCGTACCTACTATTTTTATTAAGATTACTGAACACAGGGAAACTTAGAAGAACAAACCATCCAAATAAAAACGAAATCAGACAACCAAAGGGCGCTTTCGCACCGCCTAGTTCTAGGAACTTAGTTCTAGGAACTAGCCAGCATGGTCGTTCCTAGAGAACCAATTTCTCCCTCGGTCCGTTTTGCTGGTTGCATTCACACCGGCAGCAGGAACTCTGAAGTGGCCAACAGCGACATCTTTATTTGCGGCATTTACAAACAACAACAACCGGTGAATGGAGGACCTTCTCGGCTGGCATTGTGTACACAAAAACTTAATACTCTGATCAAAGCAACCCCTCCCTCATAAGCACCCCCGAACCTGAGGATCCAGAGGGCCAAGGCGAAGCAGCAGGCTCCGGCAACTGAGGTGGAAACGGGGATCCGGAAGGCCGCTGTGCAGCTGGAGGGAAGGAGGAGCCTGACAGAGCCAGAGGGATGGAGTGACGAGGCAAAGCCAGAGGAGTGGAGTCCTGAGGCGGCAGATGGTCAACGACTGACCATGGTGGAGCCAGAGGGACGAAGGAGCCCGGTGGAGCTGGTGAGATGACGGGCCATGGTGGAGACAAGGGAGCTATGAGCCCACGTGGAGTCTGAGGGTCGAAGGACTGAGGTGGAGTTCAGAGCTCTGAGGTCCAAGGCAGAGACACAGGATCGACACCCCAGTACAGAGCTAGTGAACTGAAGAACTGAGGTAGATCCACACCTGGTGTAGGAGATGCAGAGAGGCTGAAGGAAACCAGTGGAGGTAGATCTGAATGTTTTCCTGGCTTTGGAAGAGGAGGCGGGAGAGGGAGGCTGGACGGGATTTCTGTAGACCCAGGATATTTACTGGAGACAACAGCATTCTTACTGGCCGGGATGAAGGAACTTAAATCTGCTGATTCAAGTTCAGCTTGAGGCCTGCAGCCTCGTGCCTCTGGCCTAATCACAGCCGCTGATATAGAGCCGGTATCGCTCAAGTATGAGAGTGATATTGCGTTTATACAACAGTTTGACGGCACGAGTGTGTAAATATATAAGAAAAACAACAACGGAGTGTCTTTAAAAACCCTTTTGTGCAGAACTACTTCCTTTCGCCATATATTCAAATCTCAGTTTGATAGTTTAACAGTTGAGCTCAAGCCTCCGTTACTAATTTGAAAACGTCACTTTAATGAAGGAACGTTGAGTTGCTTCATTAAAAACTTATAGTATTACTTAAAGGGTTAGTTCACCCTAAAATGAAAATTGGCTTGTGTTTTACTTATCCTCGAAGCATCCTAGGTGTATATGACTTTCTTCTTTCAGACGAATCCAGTCGGAGTTATATTAAAAATAGTCCTGGCTATTCCAAGCTCTATCATTGCAGTCAGTGGGTGTTGCAGTTGAACAGTCCACAAGTCGTCAAATAAAGTGTGCGCATTCATAATAAACCGTGCTTCACACGGCTCCGGGGGGTGAATAAAGGCTTATCTTTCATAAGTGGAAGGCATATGACGTATGCACAGCACGCGCGCCTCTGATTTTGTTTATAGGAGCAAAGGAAGCAAAGTTTCCTTACTTTAGCAAAGGAAAACCAGTCTCCTCTTGGCTTATATCGAAATCCTCCGACATTTTTCTTTGCAAATCTTCGGTTTGTACTTCTAATTCATGACCGGCGTTTTGTTTTGTTGTCTCTCCGCATTCGTCACTAATCACACTACGCCGACGTGCTACGTCATCCGCCGGCACGGCTTCCGCATATGACAGTTGGCGGAAGTGATATAAAAGTGTTTATTATGAATGCGCGCGCTTTATTTGACGATTTGTGGACTGTTCAACTGCAACACCCGCTGACTGCAATGATAGAGCTTGGAATAGCCAGTACAATTTTTAATATAACTCCGACTGGATTCGTCTGAAAGAAGAAAGTCATATACACCTAGGATGCTTTGAGGGTGAGTAATTTATGGGCTAATTTTCTTATGTAGAGTAGAGTATTGTGAGAGAGAGATGGACTGAGCAAGTGTGATTACCTGCATCTGATACAGCATTCATTCTTCAGCTCAATCTCATATGCACAATAAAACATTAGTTTGAATGTCCGCTGAGGAAAGCAATATCTTTGTAGTACTATCCTTTCATCTGTTAAGGGTGATTTCCGACTGCTCACTGCATTTGTTAACTGCGTCTTACAAACTGTTATTAAAAGTAAAAATAACTTCCATTTCAGTCTCTTTCAATATAAAAGTCTTAAATGCGGACTCATAAAACAGTCACTTGGCGCCCTCTAATGGCAGAACAATTCTCAATATGCATTCTTCAGCAATCCTGTGTCCTTGTTTTCACGCTCTATGTCATCATTAACCGTCAAAGTTCAATTCCAATACTCGAGAACGCAAGTACAGAGGAAACATGAAAGTGCCCGGATGTGTCCTTGATATCGAGGATGCATCGAATGCAGACTTGAGAGAATCGAACCGTTAGAAATCCCAGAAGATGCTGCGGGCGAACGAAGCTTTTAAACTTCTCACTGCAAGCCTGCAAATACGCGACGGCTCGTGAAAGTAAACATTGTCATTTTGTTTTGCATAATTTTAATAAAGTCATAAAGACCTGGAAAAAAGCCTGTCATACTTTTATTGGTATATTTTTTAACATGGATAATTTTAATAATATAGGAACATTAAATATACATGCCTAAGCCTAATAATTTTTACAAATACATATGGTAAAATAAAAAGAATAAATACATGTTTTAATATGACATTAGTTTGTGATGTTATGTGTTATTTGTTGTGCCTTGCTCCTTATAACATTCGGTCAGTTGAACGGCAAGATCACAGCGCATCTCAATTCTCACAAAGATGTGTTCTGTGTTCTCGCGTCCTTCCGAGTTCATTCTTTCAAGGTAGCCTGGCAAGACCGTCTCCACTGTCTCCACGAGAACACAAGTCTGTTCTTTGCGTTCTTGGAATTGAGAAACAGCCTATGTCACAAAAAACACCATCACGAACACACACACACACACACTGTTTCCCAATACTAAATACTACTACTTTGTATATAAAATATTATTTATTGAATAATAAACAACAACAACAACAGCCATCATAAAAGCCATGCTCTAATATACAGCAATATGTGTTTGGCAGAAAGTATTTATTGACCTTTTACTAATATACATGCCTAAGCCTAATAATTTTTACAAATACATATGGTAAAATAAAAAGAATAAATACATGTTTTAATATGACATTAGTTTGTGATGTTATGTGTTATTTGTTGTGCCTTGCTCCTTATAACATTCGGTCAGTTGAACGGCAAGATCACAGCGCATCTCAATTCTCACAAAGATGTGTTCTGTGTTCTCGCGTCCTTCCGAGTTCATTCTTTCAAGGTAGCCTGGCAAGACCGTCTCCACTGTCTCCACGAGAACACAAGTCTGTTCTTTGCGTTCTTGGAATTGAGAAACAGCCTATGTCACAAAAAACACCATCACGAACACACACACACACACACTGTTTCCCAATACTAAATACTACTACTTTGTATATAAAATATTATTTATTGAATAATAAACAACAACAACAACAGCCATCATAAAAGCCATGCTCTAATATACAGCATTAAAGTTACATAAAATATAATGTAATGAGATTTTGCCTTCAGCAGAAACTATTTGCTCTGGAACAGATAATAGATTAATGAGACCAAAGACTGCCTGTTAGAATTACCCAAAATAAATTATATCTTATGTTTAACCATTATAGAGGCATCAGAGCCAGCAGCAAATTCCAGAAGATCTGGCTGACGTAAGGCTGCTCTCGGCGGGTTCATGAGCGCTGAACGGCCGCTGACGCCCTGGAGGTTAACTACTTTAGTATAAATAATAAACAATAGCCTACTTCTACAGCATTTATGAATCTTAGGGTGCTTTCACACCTGTAGATCGATTGCTTTGTTCCGAAACAGGGATTAAAATTTGAGCAAGAGTCCAGGATTGATTGGGAAAACAGTTTTAAAATGAACCTACAACAAAGAAGAACAATAAGATGGCATTATAAAATAAAAAAGTGCGCTTTGATTTTTGAATGGCAAAGACGTGCTCACCCACAGACATACACAGGTTCATTTTGAGGTATTAGCAAAACAACAAAGCTAATGCTTTTCACGGAACTTATGTAATTACCCATCATAAATTGTGATATAGCCTGGTTCGTTGGTCCGTTAGATCGGATTGCTTTCTCACTACAACCGAACCGCTCCAGAGATCGTTTTCAATCGAACCGAGACCACCTCGTTCAGGCGATCTCGGACCGATTGTTTTGGCGCATATGTGATGCCGTGTTCACATATGCCCAAACGAACCAAGCTAAGGAGGGAAATGCGCCAGGTTACGAAACAACAGGCCAGGTGTGAAAGCACCCTTAGTTGAAATCAAAAGTTGTGTTTGTTAACATTAGTTTATGCACTGTGAACTAACATGAACTAACAATGAACAACTGTATTTGTATTAACTAATGTAAACAAAGATTAATAAATACTGTAATAAATGTTTATGTAATTATTTGTTCGTGTTAGTTAACTCATTAAATGATACCTTGTTATAAAATGTTACCAATATTTTTTATTTGTGAACTGATTATCAGCTGTTGTTTTTAATAGTCAACTTATTTTCGGGTCATCGTTATAAAAGCTCTGTAAACACTGCCACAGATACAAAAATATATCTTTCATTTCATCACGCTGAATGCTCACTAAAAACTGACACAGTCATCACGTTTTCAGACCATTTCAAGTTTTATTTTGACGTGACAAAAAGTAGTGGTATCTAAGCGGGAGAGTTGTTTACTTGCAGGAACCAATCACATCCAATCATAACATATCATATCCAATTATAGCACGACGATGGCATTGCCTCTTCTCACGTGACTTTCCCCCATTCATATCAATGAGCCTCCAGAAAAGTCACGGCACACTAAGGGGTCTCTGTAGAAAGTCTATGGACCGAAGGGAGGCAAGCCTCCGCTGTAACTGTAATATTAATATCATTACTATTATAGATGGAGGGAGGCTGACCAGATGGATTCCTGACATCAGACCCAACATTGTCTCCAGTCTCTCGTCCAGAAGAATTGTTCTTTTGGGTCAAGCTGGTGTTGGGAAAAGTGCATCTGGAAACACAATACTGGGACAGAAAGTGTTCAGATCTGAGATGGCAATGAATGTGGTAACCCATGAATGTTCAGAGGAACACACCACTGTTTCAGACAGATCTGTGTCTGTAGTTGATACTCCTCCATTCTTTGACACACACATGAAACCAGAGGAGTTAGTGATGGGGATAACAAGAAGATCCAGTCCTGGACCTCATGCTTTTCTCATTATTCTGCGTGCAAATGATAGATTCACTGAGCAGGACCAGCAGATTCCTCAGATGATTGAGATGATGTTTGGTCAGGAGGTGTTAAAATACTCCATCATTCTCTTCACTCATGGAGATCGGTTAGAAGAGCCCATAGAGGAACTCACTGAGGAAAACAGTAGATTAAGGCATCTGGTTGATCGTTGTGGAGGCAGATTTCACGTCTTCAACAACAGAGATCAGAATAAAAGTGATCAGGTGAATGTTCTACTGCAGAAGATTGACACAATGATAGAGCAGAATGGAGGAGGACATTACAGTAATCAGATGTTTTAAGATGCTCAAAGATTCAGACAAGAGGACGTAGAGAGGAGACTGAGAGAGATCTGTGAATTTAAAGCATCTTATACAAATAATCAGTGTAATTTTGCTGCTACTGCAGCTGTTGCTACTACTAGAGTTGCTGCTCTTTTTGGAATTGTTGCTCTTGCTGCTGGATTATTTGCTGTTGAAGGTGAACACACTCAGAGGAGCCAGGGAAATGAAAAAGAGAGAAAAAAACAGTAGAAAATTGTATGAAGGAGACTTCCGGTTATGTCGCCTGCAGAGTAGTGTGCGACCCGCTCCCTTTATCTTTTCATTTACGTATTTAGTTTTTAGTACTATAATCTCACAGAGTATGTCAAAGGGAAAGGGTAAACAGGTGGAAAAAGATCGAGAAGCCACTTCGTCACCTGGCACTAGTGTTACGCTAGCTGAAATTAGCGCCTTGCACGAGGAGCTCAGAGCCTCTCTAGCTGCAGACTTTAAAGCTTCGTTTGAGAGCCTAGATACCAAGTTAGACAACATTCATTCCACGGTCGCAGCTCACGATCAGCGTACCGGACCCCTTGAGTCCGGGCTCGAGCATCTAGAGGCTGCTTGCTCTGGGCTCCGAAAGGACAACCGAGTGGCTGCGGGCTAAAGTTTCGGACTTATGCCCGGTTCAGACTACACGATTTTAGTCCGATTTTGCCACGATTTGCTTGACAAACATGGCAAAACGAAACCGTACTCCTGCCTGTATGATGTGTCATCGAGGGACTTCCACGACAGAACAAAGAAAGAAAAATGCTAGCGAACTATAGCGGAAGCGCTTCAGCAATGTTTACACTCTTGTTTTCGGAAGTCAGTCGCTAGTTCCGCCTTCTCGATGACATCACGTGCGTCGTTAAAGACGGCACGCAATGAATGGTCGGGAAGCAACGTGTAGTCTGACATGTTTCTTGTCCACGACACGACAAGATTTTAGGAGTCAAAAT